AGTTAAAATAAATAAAAGGTATTTAAGCTACGTTTTGAACATCCAGAACACGTCCAACAGTTGTTGGCTGCTTGTGCTCTTTAGGTCAGACGTGTGTCGGGAAGCTCCTCTGTTGTTTGAGACAATGGGGAAACTGGGAACGCGGCTCGACCTAACACCGGTCTCTGTTTAATGGTGAATGAAATAAAGAAAGGACCTTTGCTTGAGAAAAAAAAATTTAAGTGGACCACGCTGAATTTTAATTGAAGACTTACCAGATTACCAACTTTGTTCTGAAAATTTATGTTTTATGTCTATCTAACTGAAACAAACACACAATAAAACGTGTTTCAAAGAAGTGCCACCATTTTTCAACAGACTTATACAAGAGGTGAGTAGATTTAACTTTTCCATGACTTAAAGACCGTTTAAAAAGACGTGTTCTCTAAAGCCTCTGATGAAGGCCTTACCCTCTGGAGTACTTTCTCTGGGCTCTGATCCAGGTCTCCATTGCTGGTGACTGGGATCTCAGCGGCTGAGCTTCTGCAGGAATCCTCAGCCATTGTTCTCTCCTGTAACCAGGACGRCAAAATAAAGCAGTCAGAGACGGAAAATTCAGGGCTGGTCTTCAGGAACGTAAGAGTAGTTGGCTGCCATCTTGTGGACAAGTTTATTGGGAAATATGAACCTGAAAAAGTGAATAAAACAAAACTACTACAAACCAGTCTGTCCACCGTCTCCTGTACATTTTCTTTAAATGACTTTCTAAACGTGACGAGCAGTTTTACGAAGGTTACTCAGGATGATTTCAACATCAACCAAGATGTGATGTTGTGCAACATTTTATTTTATGAAATAGTTTCTGTGTAATCACCTGAGCACCAACAGAATGACAAATTCTCATTTACAAACACTAATGTTTTGTTTAGCGGAGTGCAGTACATGTCAAAACATTTGTGTGTAAAGAATATTTAAAGAAATTTGCTCCCACGTTAGTTTTACATGCTGTTTGAATAAACATGGTGGCCGACGTTTAACTCCAGTGTTTCAGCGAGGCATTTACCAACACTGCTGTACGTTGTGGTCAAATTTTAGAACTCAGAATACAGACACACATAAACCAAACCTCTTTTTAATCTGACTGAAAACTCATTAGTAAAGTCCTGATATATTCTTTAAAAAACATTTAAAGTATTTAAAGGTATTACAGGGTTCCTACAGTTTAAGGCAAGTTAAATTTAAGACCAATTTCACAATAAACACAAATGACAAAAAAAATTTAAACTGTGGCCGAAACTCATGAAACAAAGTATTTTTGGTTGAATTATTCAAATATTCCTAATAGACCAATTGTTTTTATCCATATTTAACTGCTATTTTGTCAAATATAGCAAAAAAGATTCTTAGCAGTTGGTTTTAAACTTAATTTAATTCCTGGAAATCCTCTAACGACCCAAAATTTGGAGTTTTATGACCCACAGTGGGTTCTCAACCCCATCTTACTGTAGATGAAAACCTAAGGTGCATGTGACATCAAATTTGTTAAGATATATGAATGCATTTTTGGAAAGACAACATTATTAACAAATTAAAAAACTAATTTCACATTGCTCAGATGGACAGTTGAAATATTTGCATGTGAAATAACAGGAAGTGATGTCAAAAGGGAATGTGAATATTTCAAAAATAAATAAATGTTACTGTGATGGAAACTCGGGCAAGATAGGCAGAAACACGGCGAAAGCGTGTCAAAAAGACAAAAAGTCTTGCGGGTATGTTCGTAAAGTCATTTATTAATGGGCAGACAGAACAGAAAACAATCAGGAAGTCTGTTGAGTGTGGGCCCGCACGTCATAGGCTGCCAAGCAATGATATACTGTCAGCTAACATCATGTGATAATGAACAACCAATCACAACCTGCCTCATCCTGATACGTGAAAATAGGTCAACGTGATGCTGACGTCCGGAAGATATCACGAGATATGAACAGTGGTCAGTGTCAAGGTGATACAGAAATAATTAGTCCATGACAGTTACCAATTATTTTAATATTTGATACAAATTACAGTCATCCTACTTACAATATATTAAAATTTTTAAGACTTCTGAAGGTTGATTTAAGACCTTTTAAGGCTAATTCAGGCCTTATTTTTTGGACTGATGAATTTAAGGACTTTTAAGACTTTTTAACAATCTGGAGGAACCCTGTATTATTACAAAAAAAATAAGTTTTTTTATTCCAGTTTTTCTACAAGCATTGTCATGGTGGTCCTCCCAAAAAACCTCATGCGGACTATTAAAGCCTGTCCACAATTCATACATTCTCCTATAGGCTCCAGTGAAGTGTCCATCAAAGGCTAGAGTTAACTGAATGTGTTTAAGCAGACAAGATAAAAAGCATGTGAAATAATAAACTCTGCTCCATGCTAAATAGCTCTATTAATGCATGAGCTGCCTCCATTCTGGTGTTTGCTGCCCTTGTCTGTACCCGTTTTGTCGGTGAGTCATGAAATGCTTCCCATCAGCTGAATTGAAGGAATCTCAGCTTTATGCATGCATGTTTCACTAACAGTCACACTTGCACTTGTGTCTGAAGTGAAGCTGTGTAGAAAACAGTGAAGAGTTCAGTCTTGACCATCTGCATGCCGGTTCTCGGTGTGACACCGGGTGGAGACGGACTGTGGCCACATAAGTTTCACATTAAGCTGTGATGAACTGGCTGTCTGCATCTGGAGGAGGATGATGACAGGGTTGCGTTGGCTCCAGTGTAATTTTATGACTTAATCACTGTGGACCTTGAAACTGGGACACTGACCTAATCGGTGTGCTATTTTACAAGGCCCAAATATATACAGTGGTTTGCAAAAGTATTCATACCCCTTGAACTTTTCCATATTTTGTCACATTACAACCACAAACATAAATATATTTCACTGGAATTTAAAAAATACCAACATGTTTTGTATAGATG